AGCCCCTGTTTACAGCCCCCATATTTTCTATTCTTTTGTATATGTGTGTAACATTTGGATCTCTACCTTCTTGGTATCGGAATGATCACATCCATCCACGGCTGTTTACATAATTTCTTCAAGATTTTTAGAATATGTGACCTCTTATAATCCTTTCCTTAGTGAGAGAGTAATAGCTTTTCATTTAGCAGCTCCTCTCAATTACATTTCACTGTGGCAAACTCTGGACTAAGAACTACGCAGGTGCGTCCCAAGACAAAGAATCTGCATTCAAACGAAAGTACCTGAAGGAACCTAGTAAGAAGATCAAACTCAGTGTCTACATGTGGCAATAATAATAAAAAAAAATCTTGGTCCAATCAATGTTAACATCATTTTTATTCTTGCTAAAACATGGATCAATATCTCGATTCATCCTTAAAAGATAATACATTAAAAAGAATGACTTCAAGGATCATTTATTTAGAAAATTTCCCTAGAAAGATGCACTTTTGTGTTAGGATGTGTGATGGACAGCATCCTTCTACCTGGCAGTGGGGTTAGGAAAGCAGTCTGTGGATCAAAACTCACTGGTCACCGGGAAGGAATCTATCTTCTCATTAGCAACAGGCTTCCGCCAGGGAAGCACTCTAGGCTGGCTGGCATTCCAATGCTTCACCCCTTCCTCTAAATTCCTTTCTCTGCTCTCTGTTATTTATACTCTAATGTCATATGGGGAGGGACGAGAAGGGACATGTTTTTCAAAGAGCCCTCAGAAATCAATTACTATGTTTTCTTGCTCAAACAAGGGAGAGCATTTAAGGCCTAAAATTATAATAGCAAGACTCTCCACCTACCCAAACCAAACCAAAGCATCTTTGAACAATGAGTGCAGGGATCTGTTTAAAACACCTGCCATGTAAAATAACCTCGGTGTCAGTGTATTTAGGAACTGAGTAGCCTGAAATTGTTTGGGGGTGAGCAGGAGTTAGGGTGTAGATAAACACACCCAAAGAAAAACAAAGATGTGAGCTAATATTTCCCTGTGGGGTGTCAGGGAAGTTAGACCCCTAGGTCTGTGGGTGCATCTGGTGTGTACTTGTGGTATGGACAAGCACCCGGAGGCAGGAAGGGAGAAAGGAGGAGGATGGTGAGATTAAGCAATGCTTGCGAGAAGGCGTTCACATGAATTTATTAACAAGGGGTCGAGTGGGAGGGGCTGGAGTACAGCGAGAGGGCATCCACCAGTGTATTTCTACTTAGGGACCAGGTAGCAAGAGGCAGGCAAGATGTACACCCTGCCATGAAGAATACGGCAGGGTTGCCTAGAGTCTAGGCTACCTGCTTCTGTCTCTGGTGGTGATAAAAAAGGATTCTTTGTTTAAAAAAGGAAAAGAAAGAGAAAGAAAAAAAGAAACAGAAATGACCTGCAGCCTTCAAAGTCATGATTCTTACAGGTGAGCTTCAACCAAACAGATGAAGCTTTTCATAATGGTCTCAGGAGGAGAAAGACAATGTACTGGAGATGCCTCGTTAGTCCTATTTTCTGTTAGTGGATCCTTAGTAGTGCAGTTTTCAGGCAAACCCTGCTGTTTGAATGTTTGGGCCTTTATCAAGCAGTTTTGGATTTTCTTACCTTCCCATGAAGCCTGCTGGGAATAAGAGAGGCATTCTACACCCTGGGTGCATGCACACATTAAGAATTCCTCATGGTAAGCATACCTGTTATCCCAGTACTCTGAGAAGCTGATGCAGGAGGATCACAAATTTGAGCCCAGCCCGAGAAACTTAGCAAGATCTGATCCAAAAAAAAAAAAAAAAAAAAAAATTAAAATAGAGCTTGGCACAGTGGTGCAGGCCTATAATCCCAGCAACAGAGAGGTCGGGGCAGGAGGATCACTGCAAGTTCACGCTCAATATGGGCTACACAGTGAGTTTGAGACCAGCCTACACAACATGATCATGCTGTTTCAAAAATAAATAAGTAAGTAAATAAATAAGAAATAAAAATAAAAGGCTGGCTGGGAATTTAGCTCAGTGTAAAGGCCTTAGGCTCAATCTCTAATACTGTAAAAAAAAAGAAGTAGCTTAGCCATGACTCTTGGAAAGCCCTTCCTTGTGGCCACAAGTGCCCTTTTGTTGTTGTCCAACCGTACAAGTCCAGTTGCAATTATTTACCCACCTCTGCCATCACAGGTACCATACTGTGACGTAAGACCCAATTTTTGGGGGAGAATTTCTTAAACCAACTAGATCAAACCTATCTAGTTTTGATTATCTGCTTATCACCAGGTTACAACACGCCTATCACAAGGCCTATCACTGTATTACTGTTAAATAAAAGTCATACAGTTTCATTTGGGGCAAGATGTTAGCTTGACACATAACTCATGGCCTTTGTTTCTTTCTGTAGCTGGCCTCTGGCCATTTGCTGCTTTTTTTTTTTCCAGACTGGAGAGAAAAGGTAAGAGGCAGGAATTCCAGTCGAGGATGAAGCTGCTCAAGGGTAGCTTTGGGACAGGTTAGATGTGGCCAGGAAAGTCAGGAGCCAGCCAGTGGGACTATTGATGGCTCTCACTAACCCAGTTCCCACCCTGGACCTGTGGCCACCCAACACAGGAAGCATATTTTAACAGGCTCCTTTCGGCTTTATAAGGTTCACACTTCACTTTCAAAGAAAGCCATGCACCTTGATTTCTGGTTTGGAGAATTTGGTCAGCCCTACCAATGAAGAAACAGTCAGGTGAGGGCCTCCTCTAGGGTAATTTCATGATCCTAGCAAAGCATTTAGCAGTTTTCTTTCTGAAACTGGTTCAAGGAACACTCCTTAAATGAATAAATCCAATCAAGAATAATATTACCTTTTGAGAGAAAGATTTTTAATACAGAATTTCCATCTGTGATATATTTAAATTCTAGGCCTTAGGCAGTGATTTCAGAAAAGGGCTTCTTTTATCCTTTATTAGATCCCAAATAAATAGCCTGCTCTGGGAGTGGAGGCCTCTTTTTACTCCCTCACCCCTGAAAAATAAAAGATTTGCTGCATTCTTCCTGAGAGCACACACCCTACTTTTTTTCTTCGCATAGTGAACTCTGGTGTTGACATAAAAATGCTTAGCACAATTTTATTTACCTGAATTATTCTGCCCATAGTCCTATCTAGAAGAGGAGAATGGTGAACTGCTCAGATGACAGCTGTCACTATAAGGTAAGTTGTCAATTCCAAAGTACAATTCATCCTCTGTTTTGTTTTTTGACAGAGTTATGCTATCCAGTTCACACTTACCTTGAACTATTATGTAGGCCAGTCTGGCCTTCAACTCAGAGACAGTCGTCCTGCCTCAGCCTGCTAAGTGACCGGAATCACCACACCCTGCAATACTGTGCTGGTCTGCAGTAGTCTGGACCGGCTAACAAAGGCAAGTTTTGTTATTTAGGAGCGCTCGGCCATCTTGATTGAATAGGTTAAGGGGGCAACCTGGACCCAGCACTGCAAGGCACTTGCGTGTGATCTATAAGTTGGGGTAGGGATGCAGGTGGGTCTCAGGAGAGGCCTAGCCCTCCCTGGACGCCACGCAGACAGACCCACACTCAGGCAGCAAGAGGAGGTGCAAGTTTGCATACATAGTTTATTATGCATCTTCCAGTCCTAAAAAAAGGGGGAGCCTGTTACTCTGTCAGAAGCTTAAAACTTTATATCCCATTTTTCCTGACCTGTGGCACGGCTTTCGCCTCTGGGTAGTGTTTGGGGAGAGGCCCAGGCCCACTGCCGAATGGCTGCACGCATAGGTTTTCCCTGCACATGGTGGCTGAGCAGCTTTGAGGATTGCTTTAAAAAAAAAAAAAAGTAAAGTGCAAAATAGACAAATAGATCCAGAAGCCGAGCAGCCTCTCTCCCATGTGCTCGGACCGTCGGCGCGAGCCGGGGCCAGGGATTGCGCCAGATGCACCTGAATCGGTCCCCTCGGGCGGCCGCGGCTCGAGCGCCGGCCCTGCAGCTCCCGGCGGGCGGGCGGCGAGGGCGCAGCAGCAGCAGCAGCAGCAGCAGCAACAGCAGCCGCAGCGCAGCGAGCGCGAGCCTCGGGCCGCGGCGGCGGCGGCGGCGGCACCGGCACCAGCGCAGTTTCCCCTCTCCCCAGCCTGGCTCCACGCGCACATGCGCACTGCACCCGCAGCCCTGGACCATTTGTCAGGACTACTCGTGAGACGGAGAAAAAAAAAGAGCGAGAGAAAATTTGGGGGTAAGAAGCGGGCGATCGGGATCTAACCTCTCCGGAATCCGAAGCCGGGTCCGTGGCCGAGCCCCGCGTGGGTGTTTTTTCCGGGCGGGGATGAAAGTTAAAGAGCCCTCCGGAGGGAAGGAAGCGCACCCTGCCTGGTCTTGTGAAACAGATCAGGGGAGGGGAAGGACGGAGGGGTTTCTCCCCCACTTCCCCGCGCCTCTGGGAAACAGCAGAAAACTTCATCCCCGGGAAAAAAGTGGGCAAGTGACTCGGAAAGGGCTTGAGGGGGAGTCTCCGGGCATCTCCCTCCGAAGTAGTGAGTGCGAGTGCGAAAGAGGAACAAAAGAGAGAGAAAAGAGAAAGGAAAAAAATGGGGGGAGGAGAGACTTGTATTTTTTCTCTGCGCGCACCCGGGAAGGGTGTGGGGGCCGCGCGGGAGGCGGCGGCGAGGCGGCCGCGCAGGGCTCGGGGCGCGCGCAGGCGGCGGGACGCGGCGACCCCCGGCCCGCGCCCCCCGCTTGTCACTTGGGTCGCTTTCGTGACACCGGCGCGGGTGGGGGAGCGCGGCGGCGGCGGCGCAGGAGCGCAAGGGCGCGGGTCCGGGGTGGGCGCCGCCGAGCTCGCCGGCCCCGGGGCGGGGAGCGCGGCGGCCGAGGCTGGGGGCGCCGGCGGCGGCGGCGGGCGTGGGGGCCGCGCGGGGGTGGCCGGGCCCGCGATCGGTGCGGCGGGGAGGAGGCGCGAGCCCCGCGCGCCGCCCCTGCGGCCCCCTCCGCCCGTGTGGCCTTTGTGCCGGGCGCGCACCGGGGAGCGGGCGGGCGGCGAGCGCGAGAAGTCCCGGCGCGGGCGGCCGCGGCAGTGGGAAAAGAGGCCGAGCGGCCACTTTCTCCCCGCCCGGCCGGCCGAGTGTGCAGGCGCGTCCGCCAGCCGTGCTGCTGCGTGTGCGCGAGTGTGAGTGCGGGTGTGCGCGGCGGCGGCGAGAGAGAGAGAGGCCTCCGACTCCCGGCGCGCACACGCACACTCACTCGCTCGCTCGCACGCACGCACACGCGGACCGCGGCCCGGCTCGGCGGCCGAGAGTTTGCGTCCGCCCGCCCGCCCGCGCCGCCGCCTCCCTGCCGGCCGAGTGTGTGAGAATTTCCTATAGATCGGCTCCAATTTCCGCCATTTTGGGAAAGTTGCACAAAAAAAAAAAAAAAAAAATGAAGCCTCCGGTTTATTTGTGCCCGAGGCAGGAAAGTGCTCGGGAGGCCGTGCGCGCGGGGGAGGCGCGGGCCGCGGGCCGAGCCTGGAGCCCGCGCCGTCGCGGCGTCCGCCCCGCGCCCGGTGCCCGGAGCCCGAGCCGGTGCCGGTGCCGCGCCGGCCCGGTGCGGGCGCGGGCGCGAGTGTCGCCGGGCGGCGGCGGCGGCTCGGCTCGCGAGGCGGCGGGCTGCGCCGGAGGGGGCGCGGGGCGGCTGCCTTCCTGCAACTTGTTTACGCCCGCCTCGCCTCGTCCTCCCGGGGCGGCGGCGGGGTGGGCGCGGGGCCGCCCCGGAATAATGGGCTCCGCGCGGCCGCCCGCGTCCTGGGCCCGGCGGCGGCGGGGGAAGTAGAGGCCGGCGGGGGCGGGGATCGGGCAGCGCAGGAGCCCAGGCATCCGCCGCGCGCCCGAGCCGCCGCGGGGAGGAGGGGAGGCGAACTTGGGAGCCGCGGAGGGCAGCGCAGGGGGCGCCCTGGCACCGGCGGGGGCAGGGCGCAACTTCGGCGCGGGTGGTGAAACTTTAATCACCTTCCGCGCAAAAAGGGGTTTGGGGGTGGGGGCCAGGATTCGAACCCCTCGATCGGGTGGGGATCGGATCACGGCCCACTGCGCGAACGTGAGAGAAAGTTTCAACGCGGGCGGTTTCCTCCGCGCCCGGCAGCGCGGGGCCCGGGTGCCTGTCTGTCTGTCTGTCCGTCCGTCCGCGCCCGGGAGAGGTCGTGGTGCCGGGCCGCGCTGCGGGGTCGCGGGGATCGTGGGTCTGCTCGCCCCACCCTTCAGGGGAGACTAAGGTAAACGGCGGGCGCTTCGGTTTCCCTTCTCGGTCCTCCTGCCGCCGCCACCCCGCTTCCTTTTCCTCCCCCCTCTCCGCCGATTTTTTTTTTTTTTTTTTTTTTTGAGAGGACCCAAAAAAACCGGAGTCTCTTTCCTTCTGAAACTTCCTCGGCGCCCCCACCCCCACCTACAGCCCACTCCTCAGCCACTTCGGGGCCCCCGCCAAAATCATGCCCTCGAGATCCCCCCAAGTGCACGGGGACGAGAATAGATTGACAATAAATTGTTCCCAGTGACGGGGGAAACTGAGATGTGAAATAAGCATTTGGGGGCCGCGGGGGGTGGGGTGAGGCGTCAGCCGGGGCGAACGAGTGCGTGGCATTGTCACTTGGACCTCGGATCGTGGTTCGCGATGTCTTTATTGGTGTTGGGGGCCCCGGAGTCTCCGTCCTGGCCATCTCGGTCGCGTGGATTTTTGCGCAAGTTTTTAGCAAAACACTGACTCCACTAGAGAGCATTTCTCCGGAAAGTTTCAAGTGCCTCAAAATAGCGAATGTGCAAAACTGGCCAAGGGGAGACCTCTAGCGGTTAAACGCGTCCTAAGTTCGGGAGGCCGAGAGCAAAGTTTGGCCTTTACTTGTAGCTACGCAGTCCGTTCAGACGTGGAAGTCCTGGAGGACCTCGCGTGGTTGTGGGAGAGGGTGCAGCCGATCGGGAAAGAGCAGGCGGGGTGGATCGGAGAGCGCCGAATGCTGAACGTTCTGGCCCCGTCGCCCCCATCCGTTATTCAGGTGTCCAGAAACCGCTTTGCTTTTCGTCTGAAATTTGAGACTGAACACTCCCTGGTGAAGGGGACAGGAGCATGGTGTTCCCGTGTGACATCGTCAATCCTTCATCCGTTTTTAATAATGAATCAAAGCGAATGGATTTCATTTTGAATATTAAATGCAAGTTGAGATAAGATGAGATAATGTGTTTTAAAAAGCAAAAAAGATCTTTTGAGGATTTACTTTTTAAAAAAATTAGTTATTATTATTATTGTTATTTTGCCCGTTTTTGAGATAGCGGCTCGCTGTGCAGTTCAGGCTGGCCTTGAGCTTATGTTGTAGCCCAGACTGGTTTCAAATTTGGAACGATCCTCCTGCCTCAGCCACCTGAGTGCTTGGATTACAGAAGTGCGCCACCCCACCCGGCGAGGATTTAATTTTATTAGAGCTGGTCATTTTATTTTCTAGGAAATGTAATTTAGGGCTCATGTTACGTTTTTTGGCTGTATAGTTGTGTACCTGGAGGTCCCCTGTAGCTATAAAGGGGTAATTTTGTTTCATTGGTTGAAAAATGATTTCTGAATACTTTGTATAATCTGTGATTTAAAACATTTAACATATGGGGGGAAAACTGCTTATGTGATATCTGCTCTTTTACCAGTGTGTGTCCTTTGAGGTGTCGGGTTAATTTTAAAGATAAATCCAGCGAGGGAAATTAAAGTTGTATCAAATGATCCTGTCACTGTCACCTGTCTGTTAGACAGTGAGATTTGATTGGGTAAATTCAGCATAGGGAATGAAATGAATAATTAAAATCAGTTTCCCCTCATCTGGCACTAGTTTATTTTAACCCACGGGCTGCTGTGTGGAACCAAGCGTTCCAATGTTTGGAATGTGAAGTGATTAATTGTAGTTTGTGGACTTAACGGCTTCTTTTGATGACAGTGGTTTGATTTTGACTTTTCCTTTTTTACAATCAATGCTAGGTCCTTAAGGGGAGCCTTGTGTGCACAGCAGTCCTGAAGACCTCCTGAAGTTTCTTTCTTAGCTGCTACAAGGTAAGAGTTGCTTGGTGATACAAACTACCTGATACACTTACAAATATTAGAAGCTGCGCTTGAAACTCAGTGTGGGCCAGGCTTGGTAGAAATGCCTAAACTGGCATCAGGGAAGCTGAGGCAGGAGAATTGCCACCAGTATGAAGCCAGCCTGGGCTACATAAGTGAGTTCCAGACCAGCCTGAACTACATAACCAGACCCTGTAACAAAACAAAAACCAAACAACCCTAAGTTTATGGGGGTTGCATTGAATGCATGAACTAAAGTGTGGTTGAGGGTTGAACACGCGATTTTCCTGGGTAATCTTTAGACTGGTTTCCTTGTAGGGTTCTTATTTCAGCACCTGTCTTCTGCTAAAAGCAAGTTATTTTATTCTTTGGAACTGAGCAAATGGGAAAAGTAAAAAGTGTACATTCATATGACTGTTGCATAGGTATTCGGTGATATGGAAGATTCTAGACCTTAAAATATGTTGGCGGGGCCTGTGATAAAATTTTATGCCTGAAATTTACAGTGAGAATTTTTAAGTATTTAAGTGACTCGTGTGGCTTCAACTCAAGCAGGGCCAAATCCGACCAGATGACACATGATGGGGGTACGTACGGGGAAGTTGCATCGCGGTAGCACTACGGGCTTTAGAACCCATCTCCATGGGTTGTCCTGGAAGTTCTTTCTGGTGATTTTGGAAGGTGCTTACTCGTCTCCACTAATGTCAGACCTATTTTAAGTCAGTGTTATCCTTCCTTCTGTGAGCTGGACTACGGGTCCTGGGGGGCCCAGCCGAGTCCCTGGGGATAGAAGAGTGCCCCCTGGCCAGGTTGTGCTGTCGTGTTCTGCGTGGGGATCATGTAATTAGCTGAGTAAGCGGATGTGGCAGTGCGGAGGTCAGGTGACAGCAGAGGCAGGCTAGGTGAGAGAGGGTCTCACAGAGGTCGCCTCCAGGCAGGCAGGTCGGTTTGGATGTGGTGAGCTGAGGCAGCACACGCTTCTCTATCTGGGCCACTGGGGGTGGGCACGGAGGGCTAGAAGTCCCCAGGCTGGGCTTCTTCCCTGCATGTACGCCCTGTGGAGGTCGTTTATCTTCTTCTGCTTAGGTTCCCCATGTGGGAAATGGGAACAGCAGTTCTGGCCTTGCCTCTTTTTGAAACATAAAATCAAATAATATTTTAAGACTCACAAAGAATTATTCAGGTGTGGGTTGATTGTAGTATGGTTTGAGCCAGGCTCTAGGAAGGGCAGGAGGCAGGCTGTCTAGTGCACCCAGTTAATTCTTGCCTAAAATTTTGATTGGTTCTTTGTGTATGTAGTGTGTGCGTGTGTGTGTGTGTGTGTGTGTGTGTGTGTGTGTGTGTGTGAGAGAGAGAGAGAGAGAGAGAGAAAACTTCCAGCAGTATTTGTTTTCTTGAGAAAAAAGTAATTTACTTTTGATAATATGAGATCCTTGAGAGACTGAGTTTAAACCTGGTGCTAAATACAATGCCTGAAATGTATTTATCCCCAATTAATCATTTAATAAATAAAAAGAATACATGAAAGAAATACTCAAGAATAATGCCTTCTTGTGGAAACAGGAGGGTAGTGTAAGTAGAGGAGTTGTTGTGAAGGGAATTCAGGTACTGTAATTAATATTTTGGTTGCGGGAGTCCGCCGGGAGGAGGTTAGGAAGTAGGTAACTGGGGTAGTAGTGTTTTAAACTAACTATAAGCCAGAAGCTGATGCCAGTAAAGGACCGGGGAGGGAGGATCCATGGCAGGCCCTTTCCCACCTCTTTTCTCCTTTTTTCTGTTAGGTTTTATTATAACCAATTTCCTAAAATCTATTGGGAAAAAAATTGCAAGTACTATTTGTCATTATTTTTCAGTTTAAATGAATCTGAACTGGAAAAATAAACCTGGCCGTGTATAGTTCCATTTCCCCTCTTTTTCTGTGCATTCTCCCAATATTTTAAGAAACCAAACCCCATTAGTTGAGGAAAGAAAAAAGAAATATGTCCAGCTTCATTAGGACCTGAGTAAGTGAAAGCTGATTTTTGAATAATGTCACCGGTCTGTTTGATACTTTATTTTTTAAGAATTGTAGACTGTTTCACTCAACACTATTCGCAGAGTGGGAAGTTTGTTAGAGAAATTATTTGTGGTACAAGACCAGCTTGGCGCCGTAGGGTCCCAGGCGTGGGTGAGAAGCGATCCCTCCAGCAGCCTTTTCTTAACCAGCTTGCCTTAACTAGTTTTTCTCTGAGCTCGTGGCTTGCACCTCTCAGTGACCAGGTCTGGACTGCAGAGTTCCCGAGATCCTTACCCGGGAGGGCTCATCTCTGAGCTCCCCAAGGAATCAGTGGCAGCACAGCTGCACAGGACACGTGGGGAAAAAGGGGTGTCAGCCACTTGCACACCTGGGAAGCACGGATTTGGGGCTCTCTGTTGGAGGACTGTGCACATGACAGTGTACATAGCCCACCACAGTGCCTTCCCTTACTTGTGCTCCAGTCAGGGAGGGCCTGAGTGGAGTTTGTAGACTTGATGGTTGGGCCCACTGCTCTCTGACTTCACAAGATGACTTTCTAGCAAACAGCTGCACTACTTGCTACTACGGACTCATTCCTCACAAGGGCTTGTGGCTAGTAAATTTATATGCACAACTATATATATAATGGTGATTAAAATGTACAACAAATGTTTAAATTTTTTAAAAATTAACAGATACGTTGATCTTCCTCAGGATGCTTCCCTCACTTTGATCGCACTGCCTTCCTTGTCCATGCTTTCTTCCATCATGACTGTTTTCGAGGTGTGATCAAAAATGCGGTGAATGTCCTGCTCAGCGCCACCTAGTGGAAAGGGAGGCTGGTGAAAAATCCTGGCATGTCCTCACAGACCTGGTGCAATGATCGTGAAAATAAAATGCTTTGAATTGATTCAAGTCGCCCTGTGCAGTGGCAGTGTCGTGGCCAGTGAGGTTTACCTGAGGCGGGATGATTGCTGATTGAACTGATTCAGGGCGTTGGGGCTCTGAGGATAGTCCAGCCAAAGACACTTAAAAGGAGGACTTCCCGGGCCGGGTCAGAGCAGGACACGGGCCGTGGGATCCGAGTGTCTGCATAAAGGGGGACTTGGAGAGGCGTTAATGACCATGTGTCTTTTGCTGTGACAATTTATAAGAATGTAAGCTAGCATTGTAGTTTTCTATTACACCTCATGGGTGAAGATACTGTGTTTGGAGAGATTACTTATATGTTCTTAGGTGTATAGATTTATAGATGATATCTTGGATTAGTTTTATTTCTCTCTTCCTTTTCTTTTTAAGACAAGATATGGGTATGTAGCTCAGGCTGACCTCATACTTGGGGCAATCCTGCCTCAGCCTTCAAAGTGCGGGGAGTATAGGTGTTCTCCACAGTATCTGGCTGATATCTTGAAATTTGAGGACTCTTTAGGATGTATATTTTGTCAGGGAATCATTAACCAGTGGGAAAAGTCTCAGATTTTCTCTTTATCTTGTCAATTTATGTCACTGATATGTGGCTACAAGTCAGTAATAGGAGATTATAAACGGGTTGGTATTGATCGTAGCGGTTATGTGCCAGTGAATGAAATGAGGAACAAAGAGTTAAATTTGATTTATGAGGCTGGGAAGTCCCTGTTTAGGAGATAGGTAGTTTGCAAGAAGCAGTAAGGATTAGGAAGGAAACTTTCGTCCAGTTGGGTGATCTCTTGGTCTTAGGGGCTCAAGTTTTCTCCTCAGAAGTGGGTTTAGAATGAAGGATTTGGGTGGTGATGATAGAGATTACATTTGTCTCCTCTGTAATTTAGTAAAATATTGTTTCTGTGTTAGTTGTCTTTCTCTCCTGTATAAGCAGTGTTTTGTATTCAGTTACCAAATAGCCACTGGGCAGCAGTGTTATGCCAGTCGATACTGGGGAGTGAGGTACATAATCACCACTTAGCTCCACGTTGCGTTACCACGGGTTGGCGCTGCACAAAGCAGAGCCTGGTCTTCCCCGTGGCGTGTGTGAGACTGAGTCAGAAGTCGGCCGTTCGTGTGGAATGGCAGTTTGCAACGTGAAGAAGCCGCGGTTAAATGCAGGACTAGTGTGGGTTAGTGTGGGTGGTGGAGATAAAGGCTCAGGTAGGAGGTGGAATTCTGGATGTGCTATGAAACTTGGTCCTGTGTTCGGGACAGGTGGGCAGGAGGGTGCACTCTGCGGGACACTTGACATATTGCTATTTTAGCTGAAATTGTACAGTGAGTGACTTTGAATGTCAAGGACCAAGTTAGTGCTTCAGATTTACTTATTCATCTAAAATACTTACATATGCCTAACTGCTCTTCGAGGTACTATTTTTGCTAACCTTAGACATTGGATGTTATTTCTCTTTTAAAGCAAATGATGTTCAGATATACAGAGTAACTTGTCCAACTTTCAGAGTTGCTGCTGGAAGGGGGTGGAGCCAGGGAAAATGTTACTAGTTTAGGATCGCTTTGTTACAGCCTTAGATTTCTGAGTTTCAAAACACTCATTGTAGAAGATTGCAAAGAAAATACTCTTCCAATTAATAAATATCCATATTGGTTATGTTAAATGAGCAATAGTGAACAGGTACCAGAAATTCTGAGAAGAAAACTATCTTTTCGCTTCATTTTTCTTTTCTTAAACCAAAAAAAGTGAAAAAAGAGCACCTGTCCATGACCTTGAAATGATGACACACTGTTAATAAAGCAGTCAGTCAAAGAGAGCGGGGCCTAAGCTCACTGCAGTAGACTCAGAAGATGATGGAACTGACGCAGAAGCCAGGGTTTTAAAAGGTAAGAAGAAGATGAAGGAACAGAGATACTAGTAGAGAAGAGCCAGGGTTGGAAGTGTAGCGTCCTAGAACCAAAAATGAAAATGGAATATGACCAAGAAAATAGTCAAGAACTTTGCTTTCATTTCCTGTGTTATAATCTAAGCAGAAGATTCGGTCCTATCTTTGCACTCTAACCCTGACCCTAACCTGAGTAA